AAAAAAAAAAAAAAAAAAAAAAAAAAAAAAAAAAAAAAAAAAAAAAAAAAAAAGTCGAGCTGGTGATGTTGGCTCGAATTATAAACGTATACGTAATGATACAAATATTATGATCCTGTCTTTGTATAATCATGATGAATGAATACGCTTAGATTATAGCTTCTACAATATAAATATACACATGGACATTAGAATGACAGAGGATGTGCACTTTGGTCCACCCACCTTTTCCTCGATTGTTCCAGCTATACTTATCTTCGTACATATACCGCACGTGCATGTGCCGATACTTCCGATTGTAACACGTATCTATACTAAGTAAGTACACTCTTTGACTTAAAAAAAATGATTGACTATTTGAATGTACCTATACATTACATAAATACGCGTGGACGGGATGAAAAATAAATGTCCCTTGCCGTCAACCGAACGATCAAACGCGTGGGCATGAACGTCCTCACGTGTGAGTTTTATGGGTATACCTATTACATACCGGCCAATTGGATTTTCTTGACGTATACATGATGTATGCGCATACGCGCGTATTAAAAGTCATTGCTCGATTCCCGCGTATATCCTGCGGGCTGTTGATCTGTACACGCGGGTAGACAACGTTGTTACTAGCGCAAATTATATAATTGCCGTCTGTCCGCGACAATTACGCGGCCATCTTCCAATTTCCACGAGTAAGAGGACAAAAAACATATGACTGAGAGGAGTATAAAAAAAAAAAAACTTTAAAACAGAGTTGCAACCGTGTACAAGTCGAACGGACGGAAGGAGGCGAATCGGTAAGGTGCATTCCACGACTGCAGTGTGATACTTGATTTGCAATATTCCTTGCAATGTAGACAGGCTGGAGTCGTTCTTTAGAATATGTGACGTGTGTCTTTACAGGATCGGTCGTAATTTGTAAGTGTTTTTTTTTTTTTTTCTTTCTCGCTAATTCATTCATCGGTTCATTTACGATCAAACGAGCGAGTTGGAGCAACAGAGCTTAACATTAGTTTACATTATAGCTCCGTTACTTCAAAGTATCAAAGGGATTATTATGATAATTTTTAAAGCTGCTCGGCACGTATGTGGGGAGGGGGCAGGTATTCGAAGCTTCATTTCCTCATCTTCGTCAAGTGTAAAGCGATGATGGCACGACGCGCAGTTATGTAGCAAGTACACACTTCACACATGTGGAAAAGTTGCGTTCACGGCTGCTGGCACTATTTCTTCCAGATTTCTCGGAAATCCAAGTCCAAGTCAGATATATACGTATGCTTTTTTACCCTCCATGTGTATATACATCGAATCGCGGTTGCAGCTGTTGCAGCAACGCATTCCAGCTCAAAGTGCGCCGTGACGCTTTTTGCTCGACCGCGAGCGGTTGCGCGTTCCTCCGCTCTTCTCGTCCATCCATTTGCCATACCAACTGCTGCAGCTGTGATTGAAAAAAAAAAAAAAAAAAAAAAAAAAAAAAAAAAAAAAAAAAAAAAAAAAAAGACACCTGATCGCATAGACAGACCGAATACAAAGTACCGCGAGGTCGAGAATGAGAGAAAGAGAAAGAGATGGGAAAGTCTTTTTTATTTTGGAAGCTATACCTTGATCGTAAGACCAAACCATGAGATAAGTTGAACAAAAGAAAAGCTCCGCAGGAACAGCCGCAGACTAAGAGGTACTTATACAGCCCTTTTTGCGCGTACCTACACTTACGTCTTCAAACGCGATCGAACGGTGGCGGCGATGCATCTACGCAGTAGATTTATGTCCACATAATGGATAAGTATATACTTATATACCTGCCCATAAACGATAAGAAACCGGAAAATCTGTGTATAGCCCCGACAACGACGCGGATGGTTTTCTATGGGTCCTTCGATCAATATTACATTTATCAATTAAAGGCAGGCAGGGAGAAACGCCGTCACCACTGTTACTTCACTATTTCACTCTCTTCTGCGTCTCTGTGTATAAATACATTGCACTAATGCACTGATACTTATGCATACCCACACTCTCATGTAGGAACACAAATTTAAACTATTTAAAGTCGTAGGTTTTCTCGTTCTTCCTCTGTTTGGCTCTGGCTCTCTCAACACTCATAGGTAGGGTATAACGTTCGTATGGGTGAGTACAAACCTAGGTATACTTACCTAGCGGCTAGTACTTCTACGTAGAGGAGAACAAGGGTTGGAGTTAAAAGTTTGGGAACCGGGGGGAGGCACGGAGCAGAGAGGCAATAGCTGGAGCACCAATGCAGAATGCACTAGTATATCCCCCCATACTTAGACGTTCGCGTTGTTATTTATTATTACGGCAGCAGAGAAAGAGAGAGAGAGAGCGCGGTGGTGTGGAGGTGATGGCTACTGGCGAGAGTGGCGAGTGTGTTGCGAGGACGAAAAAGGAGTCGGATAGCCATATATAGGTGTAGCATGCAAGCTGATGTATAAATTGATACCTATATGATGGGAAAAGAAAACAGCTGCAGAGCAGCACACATGAACACGCACGTTATATACAGTACACCAATAGCTCGGCGCCCCCAACCCCCGAACCCAATCCATCCCCCTGTCCATCACCAATCGTAGGATTATAAAAATGCATAAGAACTGACTAGGTAAGTATATTCTGTTGGGTACGTAGATATTTTTATATTGTTGTTTGCACGGGGGAGATAATTTCACAAGGATACGACTAATCTGTATGAAAGTATACAAGGTTTAGAAAAAATATTTTGGTAATATAAAAAAATATATATATATATATATAATATTATTGTAAGTAGAGGTACTTATAATATACTTGAGAGTTCGAATGGCAGCTGATTGTGACTTGTGTGTATAAACGTGGTACTATCTACATTGCTCTGATTTTCCTTCGAGAAATCGAGGATGCAAAAACAAAAATAAAATTGAGTTACCTGTTATGCAAAGTCGAGCTTGAACAGCTGTTGATTATATTCCAAAATCGATGAGAGGCGGTATCGGTTCAGCCAATCATACAACTTTCGTATCAAAGCCAACAACAGAGAGCAGCAACAATACAAAACAGCGTATAGATGTAACTAGGTTGCAAGAAAAACTAACTAAAGTGAATATGTAACTTGCACACACAGGCCGCTGTTACATGGCTGAGGAGTTGCGTCATGCGGAACTCCGAAGATATCATGGGATTGAGAGAGAGAGGTATGCGTAAAAGCCTTAAACTGCAGACCTTATTTTCTCCGCATAAGCTGCAGATTCTTGTGAGTTTTACGCATAACGCAGTGACGCAATGACGCTCTATGTAACCGTGGCCTTTGTTATATTATGGCACGCAGTCACGCACAGAATATATAATACAAATGATGCTCTCTCGCTCGCTTCTCGTCTTATATCTGCGCGGAGCGTGTTAGCTAATGTACTCAATTATGTTACATTTTCACTGAATGGTACGTGCCTCCGGCAGGTGCAGCCGATGGTGATGAGTCTCAAGCTCGAAGAAGTCTTTGTTGTCCATACAAGCTTCTTAGGTGCACTTAATTTCTTTGAGCCGGTTGACAATGTACTCTCCACATCTCCACTCTGTGGGCTGATGCAGACTTCACTACTTATACTGTGTATAGAGTGAAAGACCAGACTCTCCTGAGCTTGACCTGACCTTGACTATACACAACAACGACGACGAGAGGAAAGGTTCGCGCACTTGAATTAAATTACGTCCTTACTCTTGAAATCAGTCAATTAATCAAGTAATTACTTGGCGCACACTCTCGCACAGGGTACACAAACAGGACTAAAGTTGGTTCCTTATATCCTTATTCTCGAACTGGAGATGCGCGCGTCAGCTGCTGTTCTAAATAAGGTGTGTATAGTAGTACATAGTACGCAGTACCTTATTACCTACTCCATTCCACTTTTTTTACCAATAGGGGGAGTAAAATATATACTTTTTACATTATAAAATTTATCAATTATATTTATACTTCAATATTTGCCACTTTTATGAGGTTTACTTAGGTTCGTAAAGCTTTTCTTCCCTGCTGCAGGTAATGATAAAAAAACTGCATGTTTGTGTAATATACATATATCGAGTATATACCTAGGTATCTATCTGAGAAGTTGAGAACATTTTTATGCTCGTAAAAAAAAAAACGGAGAAGAGTTAATGCAAACGAGGATAAAGCCATTTGCTACATTACTCGAATTATATTTTATGCGATTCTTTGGGCTTAGTTTACGTTGTTATATAGGTACTTACAAGGTTATTGAATTTTTATTTTTTAGATTTAGTTTATTCAATTTTTGAATTTTTGAAATTCGCGCCACGACGGGCGATTGCGCCGTTTTCGACGCGTATCATGCATTTTCGACGTGAACACAAGTAGAAAACCTCTGACACTGTCGTAAATTCATTCCTACGGGCGCGTTTAGATGAAACGGAGATACAAGTGATTGTGACGCTCGTGACTCCCGGACTCCATGAAAACATTGAAAACACACTCTATAGTATTAGTGTAGGATTTGTTGTTGGGTTACTTTATTCTCATCAGCGACTCATTAGTCGAGGAATGATTATTGAGTACTCCAAATAAAACTTACGTGGATTTGGTGCGAATAGACACAGCGAACTTAAAAAATGATCATTCCAGTACGTTGCTTTACTTGCGGAAAAGTTATCGGTAATAAATGGGAGGCTTACTTGGGCTTATTGCAAGCCGAATACACTGAAGGGTAAGTTAACCTACAATTTTTCAATATTTACATTTACAAACTTACATTTCCACTAAAAATTCATCGTCTACAAGTAGAAAAAAATCTCAGGTGAGATACAGATAAAATTGAAATTTTTATTTATGAGTGAATACGCCATATAACGTATTTTAGGCTAGTGCATACTCAATAAGTACAGTCTCTTACTCAAAAACACTGAAAAAAAATGAGTCGGCTGTTGGGGATTTATCGCACTAATTTTGTAAACACCACTTTTTAATATATTAATCGGTAAAATAATAGGCAGTGTTAAGTTAAAATATGGCATCAAGTACATACTACAGTCTAACCTTGACAATAACATCATTAGCGGCCTTACTTTTGTTTGTTGTTGCTTTTATAAGGCAGTTTTGTTTTTTTTTTTTCTAGACGAAGTTTTGTCAGTGACAGTATTTCCATGTTAAGTAGATCTACACAAGTAGAAATTATAAAAATGCAATTTGCTGAAATTATTTCTTGCCCTTCTTAATTTAAAATATTCCATTAAATTTGATTATTTCCACACCATACTTGAAGTTAAAGTATATATTTTGTTTACTAAGTGATGCTTTGGATTCACTTGGTCTCAAAAGATATTGCTGTAGAAGGATGCTCCTTGGTCATGTGGACTTGATTGAAAAACTTCTAAATTATGCACCTTTAGAAAAATAGTCGGACAAATCGATTGCTGATCGTTTAATTGAGCAGGTACTACTGAACTTTATAAATGATTGTATCACAAATTTAAGTAAAATAAAAATTTTGTATTTTTAGCTCTTCATGAATGTCGATGATTTCAAAGGAATGAATCAGCTGTCAATGATGATCTTTGACCAGAAGTTTAGAAAACTTTATGTTGTAAATATTTTATCGTTTAATGTGAAAAAAAAACTATTGTATAAAATGGATAACTCACCAAATAAATATATTGCATATAGATCAGTAACTCAAGTCAAGACAGAAAGCAAAAATGTATGAATGTATTACGCACATTGACATGATTTTGTTCAAATAAAATTATTAAATTTGAAAAATTACATAATCTTTAAAAATGTTATTCTTAGATACTACAAATTTTTATGACACTTACATGTACATTTTTTTTACTTTGGAAACTATAAATCGGTTATATATAATATGTATGTTTTTTCTTCTGTGCTCTTCGTTTTTTAATATTTTGAAATCAAATACAAATCGAGAAATTAATATCAGTAACAGAAACTAACACCCTCAATGGTAAGAGTAAGATACTGCTTTTATATATTAGTAAATAATACTAGAAGTGTGAATATCATCAATATAAAAATCAACAACATCAATGCAACACCACGGCTATGATCAAAGAGTTAATATTTCTCGCGTCCTTGACATTAAATTTTTCGTTTTCTTACCTTACTAATCGATGTGGCATAGATAAGGCTTACATAATTATTCGTGTGATATCCTTGTTTTGAGCCATTGGTGTAATAATAAAATACAAAAATTATAACTGCTTTATTGTTATGCCTGCAGTTACAATTTTGTTTTTATTTATTTAAAAACGGAAGGAATACGGGAAAAAATTCAGAAGTGCAATCACATAAGAATAAAAAATAATTTTGTATAAAAAAATTTTTATTTTTTAAAACTAGACAATTTCAAAAAATATTTACAAAAAATAGCATTTTCATTTACTTGCTTGTAAAAAATCCATTAAAACTTATATCTATTTAAATACTAGTGGAGTTAGTGGTATAGTTTGCGTTGTGGTTTACTTCTAGACTGCCGAATACTTGAACAATTTCCTCAATGGAACTTTTTGAGCCGAAAAACAAGGCCAATAAACCAATAACACAAATGACAACATTTTTAATTGCCACCCAATTGAATTTACCAAAACCAATGTCCCAGTACGTGACAGTTTCAATGAATACAGGAATAATAAGACCCAAAATTGAAAAACAAAATGCTCCAATCAGTCCAATAAACGGAGCGATTGTTGGTACAGCAATGGCAAGGAACACTGAAAAGAAAAAATATCATATAGTTGATTAAAACAGAACTTGAGCTGTATGTATATTAACGAATAAATATTTAAAATGTATACCTGCACCAATGACGAGGACAGTTCTTAAAACATAATTGGCAAAAATAGGCTTCTTTTGGAAGCGCTCCTTGACTCCACTCCAGGCAATATCAAGGCACACATAAAACTGCAGACCAAACGTGCAGTAGACGGCAAGACCAATTAAAATTTGTACGCTTTGGGCAAGACTAGAAAAAAGAAAAAAAAAGAAATAAATAAAAATAATCTCCTTGATCCGAAACAAATATAAATTTAATAACGTACTATTCGTTTGATGGTAAATTAAGCGTAATACTGCCTTGGCTTTCGTCTCCATATGCAAGATATCCCAAAAAGCCAAGGAAAATGTATATGAGCGTTACACCGGACATTCCTTTGTTGAGCACTCCACAGAGACCAACAAAATTCTGCGGTGTTTTCATGTTGTTTTCCAATGGCATGACCACTCCTGAAAACCAGTGACACATTCATAAACCCAATCACGAGGAAACGTGTCATTTTTACAAACACCTGAAGCTCAAAAAAAAAAAGAAAAAAATACACTCGTCATACCAATGGCCTCCATGGCGAAGATCGTTATGCTGAAGAATGCAGGAAACTTGGCGATCGGGGCGAAATTGTCCAATTCCGCAATTTTTTCGGGGTGCTCCGTTATCCTTCTGACAAGGTAGTAAAAAGTGATCCCGAGCCCCGTGGCCATGAAGAAATTGGCAATCATCGAGACCGGGGCTAGATACTTGAGATCGGGCACCCAACTCAGCAGGATCATCGGCACGAGCAGCATCAGTATCACGACCCGTGAATTTGTGCTGTCGAAATAATTTTCGTACACCGCTTGGAAGTTCTTTCCCACGATTACGGCGTACACGCTGCAGGTGCCGAAGTACGTTATGAACAAGCTTATCTGGATCAAATACCTGCGAGAGACAATATGTTTGAAATGTCATGCGTTTTTTTTTTTTTTTTTTTTTTTTTTTTTTCATAGGAAACAGATACGTTATTCCCATGCTTCTGTATTTCTTTTGATGAAAAAAATGAAAAACCATGATTTGCTGCTGTTCGTCGTCTCGTTTAGGCGAAAAAATAATTTTTTTTTTTTTGTTTTTTTTTCATCGGTGCCAGATGCGTTGTGTGCCATTACCTCGATGGCATCGCAAACGGCCGAGCCCACTTGGGTCCATTTGCGAACGCGGCTTCCGAGACGTCAGCAAAACTCATTTCCGTCCTTCGCGTTTTGTAGTAAAGAACGTGAGCGCATTTGACCTGGGAACAAAACATTTAATAGAAAATTGACCACTTATGTGTATACCGCCTACACCACACTTTGGCGTAATCGTTGCGTTGAAAGATAAGAGCAAACGTAACGTTTTACTCACGAGGATGTACGAGCAGTGGGTGCAAACAAAGGCCACGAGTATCGTCGACAAAATACCTCCGATGAGACCGGCGCTGATGAAGGCGTTGGGCATCGCCAAAATTCCGGTTCCCAGCGACGCTTTCAGCAGATGGGTCAGCGTATCACAGTCCCTGCAAAGAAAGTAACGGAATATTTCGTAATAATTACAACTCTCGACGAACTTTCCGTTTGTTTTCAAACGAATTCCCGATACCACCTTCGTAACTGTTCGTTTCTGGCAATACTTTGATTTACACGTGTTATCAAACCTGGGCACGGATGCTTTTGCAATTTTTACTGTAGTGTTTCTTTGAGATAAACAATTTTTTGTAACTACCGGTTTCATTGCTTGACACAATTTTATGCAGCAATATCAATGAAAAATACAATTTAGAAGATAATAGAAGAAAAATTATTGCAAGTGTACTTGAAATATTTTACTTTACGGTAACTGTATTACACTTATCTGCCAAAAGAGTATTATTTCTTAATGTTACGTTGTGAATAGTGACGCATGAAACACATTTTCAACAAAAATGATGCACTTTAATCGTGAAAAAGAAAATTTTTATTTTAAGGGTTTGAAAATTCATGAAAATCCGTTATGCCCAAGTCCATCTAGTCTATCATAGATACCGATGTGGTTACTTGCTCATCTAATTTTTCACGAAAAATCGTACACGCGACCCACGAAAAGAAGCAAAGAATCCCTCAGATCGCATATGCTTATATGTATCGCCCATGGCGAAGTCGAGGTCTGAGAAATACTTTATTTTTCCCCTCTAGGTGAGTAATACATATACCATAAGTACTTGGTGGAAAAAGTTTTGACACGCAAATAAAAGAAGTGCTTACGTGGTCGGATTTGGGACCTGACGTTCTGTAAACGGGTCGAAAGCTTTGTCATCTTTCGTGGCGCCTTCGACATCCATCGGCGTCACTTTGACTTTGTACCTGTAAAATAACAAATCCAAACGATTACCACCTGCCTATATATTGCCCATGTGAAATCGAATTAACAGAAAAAAAATGCAATCCATTTCCCTTTATTCTTGGGGGGAAAAGGTTCGATAAAAGTTTGAACCGTTCGACCAAAGTTAAAAAAAAAAAGCGTGTTTTTTTTTTTTCACCTCGGAGTATCCTCACGATCCGCTTCCATCGTCACTACTGTCGAGTTGGCGTGTATTGTCTTTTCGATTACGTTTGAATAACGTTAATGCGCAGCGAAAATCTGTAGATATCCGAACCCTGATACGCGTACTTTGGTACTCGATTCGATTTCACTATATGTATGTAGTACGTGTAAGATTATTATCCGTTCGCGCGCGCAGGAGGGAATATTACCAACAGCGAAAACTTGCACCGACGTAAATATGCGGGAGGATTAGCTTCCGTCCCGATGCAAAGACCCGAAGTGCTCGGCACGAAGGCTGTGCTCCACCTTATGTGGATACCGCCGACTCTCGGGTTTCGTGAGTGCGTTCCTGGTGGGGATCGAGGCGTACAACGCCGGAGGGAGTGTAAGCTTCAATCGCTCCCAAAACGCAGCTAATCCTGCTAAGTACGTCGAACACGCGTATTATCAAGTTAGTCGTTTTCATAAGTACAATTCCCACAGATAAGATAAGACCGTACAATTTTGGATAGCCGTAGTTTGTCATAAACGTGAGATTATTTCAATGTCGGTTTAGCGATTTGACCAAAAACTCCGCTTGAAGTCATATTTTTGTAAGCGCTATGAAAACGAAAAGAAGATGGTTGTATTTGGCAAAAACTCGAGTGTCCTTTTCCGTTTCGAAAATACCTATGGGTCAAGGACTTGATATATTCTCACAAAAAAATTACTAGTAACATTAAAAATTAAGACGATAGTGGTAATTACTACTATCTTTTTTTTTTTTTTTTTTTTTTTTTGTTATCTAAAATCGTTTAGAGTACAAAATACTTAATAGTTTCTACGAATATTTAAAATTTCAACCAAAAAAAATTTACGCTCGTTCTGCCGTACTTTTTCCTGTGTATCATTAGTTGAATTTTATCAATTTTTAATTAATAAGGATCATTGTGATTTTCAAAAGGACAACTACATGCGGCTCAAATAAATAAATAAAATTTTGATTGTTTCAAAACAATGCATTGTAATGTATGTACGGGGGTTGGCACCAATCGTTTGCCGTCCTAGTTTAAAACAGCGCATCCCTCGGTAAACGCTATTTTATAGAATAATTGTACGGGGCTCGAGGTGGTCTTTACGTTTAAGAGCCGCGGTATTTCTTTCCCCGCATCATCGTTTAATCAACTCGACTGTGCTGAAAAAAAATCTCTAAACTATATTTTAACAACCACATGACGCGATTATTTTCGTCGAAATGACCCTGAAGTTCGGAACGTTCCGGGAACGAAATTTTATAACTAAATTAATCACTTTAAAACAGAGCGAAAATGTAACAGAACAACTAAAAGTAGCATAAGACACTGCCAATCATATATATATATAAGTCATGAAAATGATAATTTTCCATANGAACGAAATTTTATAACTAAATTAATCACTTTAAAACAGAGCGAAAATGTAACAGAACAACTAAAAGTAGCATAAGACACTGCCAATCATATATATATATAAGTCATGAAAATGATAATTTTCCATAATTATACCCGAACCAAAAAATATCATATATGTGCCTATGCTAACTTCCAACTCATTCCAACTTCTGAAATTCATAACTCGAAATCTAGAACGAAGGCCCCGCCAAAAATGATACACATTGTTTATTATTACATGGGAGACGTTTTTCGATAAGCATACCTCGGTCGAAATACAATCAAACTCAAGATTCGTTTCCTGTTTTTGTAGGTGATACGCGCGCGTATTTTAAATAATCATTTTCATCGAGCGAGCGACCATCAAATTTCCTGTTGAATTACCGATTCAAATACCAAAACGCGCTCGAACGACAAATATATGTGTACGTGTGCATACTTTGGAATTTAATGAACCGACGGGCAGTTTACCTCCTTTGTTTTTGTAGCAAAACACGTGTTTTGCGATCCGCTTCGGTAAACGATGCATCTTTCGCTGATCATTGTCCAGTGCCACGAGTGCAGCTACGCGGGTAAGGTCGATGTCGAGGAAAGCTCGATCTTGAATTGTAAAATTCGCTGCGGTGACAACACACCGTGATGAATAATTATGTTTGTTCGTCGGGAGTAACTGCATCGGGATTTTTTCGCGCGATACGACAAAACGTGAAATAGATTGAATTTTTTTATCGCTTGATTTAATTTTGTATCTATATTGTACTAACTTGGCTGTTAGGCCGTCCTTAAAGTTGGATCCGTCTTGCGGAAGAAAAGTGTCCAACTCCGTTGGCGCCTTGTGATTTTGTGAAACCTAATGATATCATGAAATAATTATTATTGACTGATGTAAAAAAAAATAAAAAAAACTCGGGTGCACGTGAACATTCGAAAGTAACGTAATTGTTAACATTACCATTTTGAAGTTTATTGTCCTTCCCTTCGGACTTTTTTGGCTATCTGTAACAAAAAGAGAACAAGTGTGATTAGCATGTCGTTATCGCTACGTTTTCAGGTGAAAGTTTTCAACATTCACTGTATCGCAGGAAATTTAATTTCTATTCAATTGATATTCATGCGCGATAACAGCAGTTACATCAATAATTAGTATCGATAATTTTAATCCCTTACGGCTAGAAAATCCGTTAGTCACAATCAGATTTTGTCCTAATGGTTTAAACGTAGAAATTAATCAAATGAAATTGTAATTAAGTGATATAGTTACCACGTATCGGAGATAATGGTAATGCCCGTTTATACATCGAAAAATTTGAGGATCGAGGACATTTTCATAGAACAATAAACCCATTATGTTACGATATCAGTTACGCAGTAAAAACGTTTTTCATAATAAACACTTGTGCCAGTGATGAATTTGACAAAAGCCGATTGGGAGTGGCATTCATACAAAAAAAAATTACATTGATCTCTTATCGCCATTTCACGGACCATAGAGTAACATTGTTAAATGTTATAACTAAATAATAAATTGTACACGTGGTATGGAAAGCAATTTAATTTTTATTTTTTTATTTTTCAGTCAAAGGATAGTTTTGTTTTTCCGATTGATCAACATTCAAGAATGTATTACGGATACACAATTTTATTTTGATCACAAGAAGGTACAAAAGTGCCGACGTTTTTCAAGTTGTCCGTCATTCGAGTTTACATAGTACACCTATCGTTACGCTTCAAAATTCTAAACCAACAGTAAGACCGATAGAATATAAGGAGTGTGATACAATTTTTTGTGCTGTCCCTATTATTTTTTTAATTTTATGTACCCAGCAAATAACGAGCTTATCCGCGGCTTTTCCTTTGTCACAACACGTTTCAACGATACTGTGTTACTATTTACTGTAAAGATTACATTACATTTATTCATTCGTGACATGATCATGAGATTATTGCCGTGAAAGAGCAAAAGTGTGTGTTCTTGGGTTGATTGTGAAACTACGTCTCAAAAAGTGGACTTTGGAAAACATAAAAAAATGAAATCTTGGTTGAGCTTACAAGGTAACTTCCATTGTTTGCGTCATCAACGGAGATCGCTTATCACTGCCCAATAATTTTTTGGCCCAAAAAAAAACTGTTATAAAGCATAAATAGGGATTTCTTCAAAAATTTGCTTTTTACTATAATATATTCATTCGCATATAGTATTTTAATTGATTGATAAAAGTAGTATTTATATTAATTTCAGAAGCGATGGATGTAGTCATTTTGATATGTTCGAAACTAATGAAGTATCAAAACGTGTGCATTTCGCGTATGTTGATTGTATTTTTCCTTATGTGATTTTTAAAATCAAAATGTTATTTATAAGTGGTTTCATTAGTAATAACGAGAAACTAAAAAAAACAAAATGAAATTTTTTTTTGCTTTGTTTCACAATTAATTAATGATTTGTAAAAGTTCGATACGGTGAAGCATTTTGAGGTGACGAACGTCGTAGTTACTTTGCTAAATTTTATCAGTTGATGTATTTAACCGCGTGATCTAACAAAAAGCCACTCGTCGTTTTCAATTGTTTTGAAACTTTTTTGAATCGTGACCAATAAAATTTAGATGTCGAGTATGGCTACGGTATGTGTATGGGCACTGTTGTCGAATGATAAGATTCATGTATTGAGTATTTTATCGGAGTAAACACTGAAAAAACGATTTAAAAAAATAAACTTTCTGACACCTTTTCTTTATCTTTTTATGTTACATGGTACATTTTTAGTTTGAGATTAGAAAAAAAAAAAATTAGATAAAAAATAAAATAACCCAAAATGCTTTACAACGAATAAAAATTTTATTTCAAGTAAAAGAGATAATCTTCTAATGTGCAGCAATTCCAAGAGTATAATTATTGAATGTGTCATATGAGACGCACGCAGACAATGCGTATTAATTATATTACAAATTAATCATTTGAAGACAAACGATTATAGTCGTAGACTTTTTCAAGGCTCAAACAATGTTTGCTCGTTTATACTTCTATCATTAAGATTAGGTATTTCCAATAAAAATCAGAATATTAAACTACATGTATCTTTGAATTTCTAACAATTGTTCCAAATTTTTTTTGTTAAGTAGCAACTGCTACTATTTAATTGTGGATGTAATTACGACTTGGATCAGTGAGTGAACGAGTACAGCATAAAATTAGCTAGTGCATAAAAAAAGAAAAAAAAGTGCGAGTCGTGCACAGTGAACTTTCCCGGCATCTATGTGCACACAGTGATAGACTCTCGAGAGTTGGTAGGCCATCCAGACATTGTTCGAGTGAATAGACCTTGCCAACTTAATTATACACTTATCCGATTGGAGTTCAAAGATCCAGCGGAGCAATTTGCAGTTTGTGGCTCACTTTTTGCATCATTCTAAGATCAGCACCTCCGAGGAAAGACACACGCGGTATTTTCTCTTACCCGATCTATTATTAAATATACGCCGATGCACATCGTATGCAGGAAAAAGATCGAGTGATCTAACCAAGGGGTGACTTCCGTCTCTTAAAACCACCAGATCTATTTTTGCAAATTCGGTTTTTTTTTTGTTTTTAAACCTTTATTTATTTCAATCGAAAAAAAAAAAA